CCTGCTCTAGGTCTTGTAGTTCCTTGAATGATAGGATGGGTGAGAGGAAGGTTTGAAGATCTGGTGATTTCAAGGGTGAGGCAGTTTGGCCGGAACGTTTGTTCATTTACAGCAGAGATGGCTTTGGAATATCAGGATCTGAAAGACTGTCCAGGCCTTTTTGGTCGTAAGCTGTCCCAGCCTCACGTATAGACCACATTTTATCCCAGTATGGTATATATATATATATGCATACATTCACCCCTGAAACCACTCCAATGTATGCAAAAAAGGCATATATATATTATATGCATATATGGAGTGTCTGGGTATGTGGAGTGTGAGTCTCTCTTCAGCCGTCTGCTGTTTTTTTCGCAGCGAAAACCAGGATTCCTTGGATTTTTGGCTGGCTGCGGTACTCGTTCATGCACCTGATGCACGCCTGGTCATCGTCGGAACTCACGACACTCCGCAAAACATGGGAGGAAGGTCGGACGGCACAGAAGATTGCAAGATGTGAGTGGGTCAAGTGCGATCTGTGGGAACATCCATGACTTTGCAGGTGGGCAGATATATGATCTCTCTCTCTCTCTCTATAGCCAATTATGATCTCTATCACTATTGTTGCTTTCATCAGGCTTCCTTTTTGCTTCCATCTATAGTGCACGGATGTGCCAGGTCAAGCCTTTTCGGTCAGACGGTGCAGGGACCAACTCGAAGGTTTTTGGGGGCTCGCCGTTCTGTTTGACAGACTCGAGAGTTGTGACACACACATGCGGACTGACATAGCCTGACATAGCAATGCCGTCAACTAGCAACCAGCTGGTACACTGGAGCCCTTGGATTTAGCCGAGGATGATTTGGTACCGCCCCATTTATCCTGTCTGGTACGTGGCCGAGTCAACGAATACCTTCAAAAGCGACTGGACAATCCGGTCTTCCACTCAAGACTCTATGTGAACGAAGAAGAGCAGTGGCTTGGCATCAAAGCGGAGAAGGCCCGAAAGCCTTTTCCGCTGTCGCTTGCAACACTTTTGAATCTCTTGAATCTCTCTTGTTACTTGTGGTTTGTCATAGCCTTCATTGGTTGCGTTCGATGTTTTCTTTTCCGTGTATATATTGTTATTGTTATTTATTATCATTATTGTTATTATATCTTATTCCTATCAGTTTACTTTTTTGCTGCATTCGTGGTGGAGGTTTGAAAAACCGATGTCCAAATGCTTCGCGTTCTTCGTCTGGGCCGTTTCCGCTCGGAGGACCAGATCTTTGGAAGAGTTGTTCGAAAGAATGAATTGAAGGAAACAATATTGGCATTTCTTTTCTGGTGTGTAGGAAGGAAGGAGAAGAAAGGAGAAGAGGGAAACAAGGTCTTCCTTCTTCTTCTTGGCATTTCTTTATTTTCCTAGTGTGTGTAGGAAGGAAGAGGAGGAAGGAGAATGGATCCTACGGAGTATATCGTAATACGTACCGTAACCATAGGTCAGTCTATTACTTGATTTGTTTCAAGCATTGTTAGCATTGTTGCGTCCTACCCTTCAACCCATTGCACCTAGATGAACACGATCCAACGCCAAGATGCTCTCCCCAGTGGCCCTCAAGGTACACACAAAGTGCTTTTAGAAAACAACGATTTCAAGCTTCATCGGGTCCTAAATAGCGGCTTCAGCTGAGACTATGGCAACATGTCTCGACGAGTAGGACGGTTTCGACCTGCATCCCAACGGAGCGACGAGACAATGCTCTCGTCGTGTGGTCTAAAAACTCATATCCCATCATATCCCCAAACCGAATAAATTAGCCGCTGGATTGATATGGACTGATCCTCTGTAGATCCCTTTGTTGGGCATTTGCTTCTTGGAACCGGCCCAGATTGCTCTTCTTCCCCGTGGACAACAGCCGTTCGAGCGAGTCCTCCAAGAAGGGCCTGGCACGGCTGCGGCGGATCTTGGACCAGCTGGCCTTGGAACAGGCGGAGGAGACTGACACAGCGTGCGTCCGTGCGTGGGGAGTGGCTCTGAAAGAGCAGAAAACTCTTAGAAATTTGATGAGTGGTTGATGTTGGCTTGGCCAAGAATTTGTAGGCGAGGGAGTTACAAAGAGGCAGGGGAGTTGTGTTTCGGATGGACAGTGGGGTGGGGTCAGTTTTCCTCCCAGAACTGATGGTGTTTAAGCCAACCATACCCACGACATAGATTCCTAGAACAACCAATCTACATATGAACAATCTACATGTGTAATCCAACATCATAAGGAAGCGTCCAGAGCTAAACCCTGTTTGGAAGAGTGTCCCCTTGCCAATGATTCCAGCTTGCACTGTCAAGAGACAAGAGACCGGAGCTCTTTGAGAGGTTGGGAGGCTCGTTGGGTGTTCAACATAGTTTAAGGTCACATTGGTGTGCGCTTCATATCATGGCTGACAGCACTTCTGCTCATGTTTGTGGATGTGAAAAACGGAATCTAGTGCCCCCCCCACTTGACGGAACTATGCCGCAAAAGTGACCTTCCTCTAAGCACGCCATGTTCATCCCACATGAAATCCATTTCCCTTGGGCTTCTTCTCGCCACCCCCGACGATGTTTGGCCCCTGCCAACACACGCCGCGCGGCCCCAGTGCCGCATGGCCAGGATGCTGGATGGATCCCCACTCGCTGGGCTCAGTTCTATACGGTGATCGCCTCGAGCGATTGGAGGCCGGCGGATGAGAGTCTGCCAAGTTCAGCGCTGCCACAAAGGGGTGGATGAGGGAGGAATGAGGAGGGAAGGAAACGATATGAAAAGACCAACCCAGGAATAACTAACAATCTGACCAAAGTCGCACTCTATACGTCTTAGGTTGTATCAAGTTAAAGTTATGTTTCTTTTCCCATGTCCAATTATGTTTAATTGATGTCTTCGGGGCTTTGATAGCAGACTTTGGTCATGTGGATCAGTGTTGAAAACTGAAGGATTTGCAATCTCACGTTAACACACATTATTTTACATGATGTTACCTGTAAAATCACGGAAACAACCATTTACATGCATTACATGGTAAACGGACATAGGTTCCTTTTCCCCCTGTCCCTTAACAACAAGGGGATCAGCCACATCGTTTTTCTTCCCGGCCAGCTCACCCAGACCCTTCGTCACGCTGGAGGAGCTGCTTGGCGTTCAGTGCGGGCGTCGGTCGGGCGGGGCGGGAGCGGTCCCCGCTGGGACGAAGAGTTTTGTGGGGGAGGATGCTGCAAGGCAGATGTGCTTTGGGTGATGTAGGACAACTTTGTGAAGCTTTGTGAAGCATGGAGCATCATGGAGCATCATGGAGCATGCAGGCATGGTGGTTTCTCCTGGGTTACGTCTGATCACGTCGTCTCATCTGGGTGAATGTCCTAGGTTGACTTCAAAGGCAGCGCACTTCGGGATCAACTGCCAGGTGAGGAAGGGTGATCTGCACTTCGAGTGATCGGGACGGATGGAGAAACAACGGAACCCTGTGGGATCTGTTTGGGGATTTGGTGGATATTTGCATATACTAATCTGATCAGACATGATCAGAACACACATAGACCACTGGACCCAAAGAAAAAAATGCAGGCAACGAGGAGAATAGGGGAGCAGCCGTGCTGCGAACGTCGCAGGCAACACAAAAAAAGCAGCGGTGCTACGAATCGAAATGAATTATCGATGTTAATTCCATTGAAGTTTGGGACTGAGGTCACTGGAGGTGCACTGTTTAAATCCCTGAATCATGGTTACGTGGATGGCGCCCGTGGAAAATGACCATTTTTCCTCTAGAAACAGGTGGTGCCATCCACTTCCATGTTAGTGATTCGGAGTGTAACTGCTCCTTTTCTGACTCGCCACTGAGCAACTATGAGCAACGAGACTTGCACTCGCCTTCCATCCTCTAGGAGCTGGAATCGTGCTTGCGCCTCTTCCACGGACTGGGTCAACTCTTGCACTTTCCAGGCATTCGACCGACGAAACATGACGAAAACACGTCGAAACGAACACAGCGAAACAGGGACTTTTTGTCTTCTGGGCGTGAAATGGCTCCCGGAAATCACGGGAAAGAAGCCCGGTGGAAGATCTGGAAGTGTTTAATGATTTAACATGATTTAACATGATTTAATGATCTTCATGGTCGGAGAGGATCGCCTGCGGTCGGTGTGAGGCTCGCCCGCGGTGGTCTTGGATCCCCAATGGCTTTTGGAAGCCATGGCGCAAGTCGTGGGATGCCCTCGAGTGATGCAGCATCTGAGCTACAAGCGATGGGCTACTACGCGTGAGAGCTCTATTGGGCGGCGATCAAAATTGGGGAGCAAAAGAGAATGTAGTACTGTATTCTTTTTTGCTCAATGAGAGAGACATAGAGAGGTGGGTTTCCGATGGCATTGTGACTTAAGTCGTGTTGCGAGTGAGAACTACCTTCAAGAGCAGGATAACCAAGAAGTTGGGTCGGCCAGGTATTGAGGAGATGGAGGAGATGTTGACCCATAATCACGAAAGCTAGCATGCTAGCTGAGTTCTTCTTTGCTTTAGCAATGTTGTGGTGGGAGGGGCTGCGTGCCTTAAAGATTGATATATCAAGCTAACCCCCCCCCCCCCCCGCGGTTCAACTCCCAGCTGCGCCGTGTAGGGGGTTGGTTGAACGTGGTTGGTTGGGTGTAAACGGTGGCTTGGTGTAAAGGGTGCTGCTGCTGCTGCCGCTCTGCTGCTTGCTGCTGCTGTTTGCTGCTGCCACTGGTTGCCGCTTTTGTAGCTGCTGCTTTGCTACTTGTTGCGGCTGACGACGCCGCTGCTACTGCTGCTTGCTGCTTGCTGCTTGCTGCTGCTGCTTGCTGCTTGCTGCCGGTGGTGCTTGCTGCCGGTGGTGCTGCTGCTGCTGCGGCTTGATGCTGCGCTGCTGCTGCGTGGTGCTGCTGGCTGGCTGCTGGTTGGTGGTTGCTGCTGGCTGCAGGCGGCTGCTGCTGCTGCTGCTGCTGCTGCTGCTGCTGGCTGCTGCTTGCTGCATAGGACTTGTACTTCACCGTTACAAGTTGTTTACCCCTATTTCTAACCTAATGCATGCATAAGCGGGTGGTAAATTTACCCCCCAGGCTTGCTATAACCATACACCGGCTATTTCCTCAAGACACTCTATTCTTGATACCTTTTACCAGTGCTTATCCTACACTACGGACGCCCTAGTGTAT